GATTTCTCTGCAAACGGCTCGAAAGGGTCAAGTGGCTGTTTTTCAGCCTGTTTGGGCAACCAGTGGATTTACTCCTAGGAGAGCTACAAACGACTGCTAAGAAAATAAAACTTATTTTTCAGAAGCAGAAATTTATTACCCAGAGGTGTTGCTGCCCACTGGAAGAGACTACTGATGTTACCACAGTTTTTCTGAAGTTGCAAGACTACATTGTACTCATTTCTGCCTGGGGAAATGCAGAAAAAGGGTATTTCTACAGAAGGCAGTCACGCTGCTGGATGTGCAACGCTACACCAGGTGAAGCCTCAGCTGTGAGGGAGTGAAATCCCTGCTGCAGCAGTCCTCAGGAGCAGTGGAAGGTTCGGTAGCTTGGCTGGGATGTTCCCCTGCGCTATACCTACTCGGCGTGGGAGCTGCGGGTGCCTCAGCCCTGGTCCTAGCCCCAGCCATAGCCCAAAGCAGAGGAGGGACTCACCCAAGATGTTGACAGTCTGGCAGTGCCCCTTTTCCCGGAGGACCGTGTTGGGGCCCTGCAGGCAGGCATTGCTCTGCCACAGCCCCTGGATAATGAAGCCATAGAGGATGTTGAGGCAGATGACGGGCAGGAGGTGGTGACCCAGAACATGGTGGCCAGCAGGTCTGACTCAACAGCCTTGCACTCACGTCTGAAGTCAGTGCGGTTCTTGCTCCACACTGATGAGGAAGAAGGGGCCAGCAGAAAGGACGGCGAAGGCCCAGAGGATGCCAATGACCACCTTGGCCTTGAGGGGGAAGCAGACGGTGAGGTAGCGCTCCATGGTGAGGGCGGCAATGTAGAGGTTGGTGCAGGAGGTGCAGCTCTCGCTGGGGTAGTGGGAGAGGCAGCACAGCAGCTGCCCGACAACCCAGGGGCAGGAGCACCACAGGCAGGAGAGGTGACGGGCAGCCCCAGGAGGATGAGCTGGTCTGAGACAGCCATGCTGCCCAGGTAGAGGTTGGTGGTGGTCTTCATGTCACAGTAGCCGTGGATGACCAGCACCATCACAACATTGCCCACCATGCCGGCCATGAAAAGCACCAGGGCAG